TGCACTCAAAATGGAATAGTGTATTTTTGAGGTGCCGCCCTTGATAGATTGGGGAATCTAAAAACAAAACAGGGCGCACTCTCCTCGCGCATTAACGCAAAAAACAAAAATATATTAAAAAGATGCAAAAACATACTCACAAGCCATTAAGGTCATAAAAACAGAGACAAGAAGTCAAAGGTGCCAATTGTGAAAAGCATGCGTCCTCGGATAAAGTGCTAACGCGTTTCGGGAGTAGAACTCCCTTCCTCAGAGCAAAACTCCCGAAATATGTTAGCACTTTATCCGAGGATGCATGTTGTCCAGGATTGGCACCTTTGACTTATTGTCTCTGTTTTTATGACCTTTATGGCTTTGTAGCCTCAGTTTCCTGTTCTTAGCTGACAGGAGTTATTGTTGCCTTTCTATCATCTCAAACCAGTCTGCCCATTCTCCTCTGACCTCTACAAGGTATTTTCGTCCACACAACTGCCGCTCACTGGATATTTTCTCTCTTTCGGAGCATTCTCTGTAAACCCTAGAGATGATTGTGCATGCAAATCCCAGTAGATCAGCAGTTTTTGAAATACTCAGACCACCTTGTCTGGCACCAACAACCATGCCACGTTCAAATTCACTTAAATCCCCTTTCTTCCCCATACTGATGCTTGTTTTGAACTTTAGCAAGTCGTCTTCACCACGTCTACATGTCTAAATGCATTGAGTTGCTGCCATGTGATTGGCTGATTAGCAATTTGTGTTACCAAGCTATTGAACAGGTGTACTTAATAAAGAGACCAGTGAGTGTATAGTTGATGGTCATCAATAAACATTATATTTTTTGAAGATGGTGACTTTGTAAGAGTTCCAAATAAGAAGCCTTGAATTTTGTATCATTGTTTTGTGCCGCTCTGCCTCACTGATGCTAATCTTCAGTAAATATTTATGGAAACAAAAATGGAAGGTTCTGGAGGGGCCATCACAATTCTGTCTTAATCACATTGTTGAGCCACTTTGGGGAGATCCTAATCATGCTGGTCCTGATAGACAACCAAAACGTTTCTGGAGGCATATCTTCTGGGAAACGTAAGGGCCACGTTCATAACTGCAAAAAAAAGCCTGAAAGCTGTTATTGATGCAACACGGGATTTTAAGAACTATGGTATGCAAACTTTTGAACAGGGCCATTTTACTATATTCCTTGATTTCCATGGTTTAGGTCAGGGGTGTCAAACTGGCGGCCCTCCAGCTGTTGTAAAACTACAAGTCCCATCATGAATATTTGAAAGAAATCTTGCGAGCCAGAGGATAAAAAATTTTTCTATTGTTGGATCGCAAACCTCTAACACATAACTACCAATGTGAAAAACGTGAAATAAAAATTATATATAGTGTTGCGCTCTCAACCCTTCAATCAATATATATAAAAAATGTATATTAATAAACGTAAATACTTATACTTTTAAATCTTTTGAATCAACTCAGATAAACCATGTGCATAGGGCAGTGATACATAAACAAATATATAGAAAAAAATAAAAAATAAAATATAAAAATAATATATATATATATATAAAAATTATATATAATATGAAATTATTGTCCCAAAAAGTGACTTTGTGCTGGAAAAATCTTCAATAGCATTAAATCGGTGACTGCTTGTGACTCCTCCCTCAAGTGAAGATATGCGCTCACCTCATAGGTAGCCTGCAATTAGGCTATTAAAGCTTGCGGTTCACCTCCTTTGGAACCTGCTTGTTAAGAATTCCTGTTGCAAGATATCCATGGAATGCGACATATACTATGGAATAAATCTCCTCTCATAGGGTGCCACTCCTCTATCTTCCTGTCTCCATACGGTTCTCCATATACAAAAAAGATCCTGACATGGTGCTTTAACGTTTTAAAAGCTTGACTTTTATTTGCTTTAAGGTATGGCACTCACATATATTCGGATAGTGGTAGTACACATACGATCCCAGACTGCCGCTGACTGCCGGAGCTGTGCGCTCGTGGTCCGGCAAACGGACTGACTCCCTCCCTCCGAGTGACGTAAACAGTCCCACCCCTACGCGTTACGCCACTGGTCACGTGGCTTCATCAGGGGGAATCAAAAGAACTGGTTAAAAAGAACTTGCCAATCCAGCAACAGATTCACTGTAATGGAGCCCATCCGGCACATAGTTGCCTTCCCTTCCTTCCTTCAGCCATTGAGAGTGCAGAAAACTAGCCAGCAGTTCTTGGTATTGGGGAGCATATGACTCATTGGGTACAGCCATAGGCAGGGGCGGACTGACCATTTGGAAACTGCCCGAGGGCCCGGAGTCAGTAGGGGGCCCTATGAGATGCCCCTGGTACCTTTTTCATAGGCTTTTTTGAGTTTGGGCAAGGACACAGGGGCCCCATGAGTGAGTTGTCAGTCCGCCCCTGGCCATAGGGGATATGTATCAATGCCCAAATAATATTTTTTCATTACCCTGCTGCAGAGACAGAGAGAAATTTCATGCAGCTTCAAGCTTGACATTGAAAGTATGCACATCCTTAAAGAAGAAAACTCAAGATCATCAAAAAAACAAAATACTGGTCAGTACATTAAGGTGTAATTAACTCCTTTTGCCTGTACAATGCTCTATTGTTTTTTTTTAAAAGGAAATCCCTTTTAGCCTTGTTGTCTTCCTGCTTCTGTGCTACTTCCCTCTCCCAAGCCCGATTTGTGGGCGTTTCAACAGTTGAGTGGTGGTAGTACTCAGTTACCATCTCCCCTATGTCTGTCTGCAGACATCAGTTACACTGACGAGTCTTGGAAGCATCCACACAGGTAGGGGGACAGGCAGAGCTCACCTGAGTTTGGGAAAATTTCATTGAAACACCCCCCTCCCCTCGCATTTCTAAGGACCGTGCTTGTCTTGGGGAAGAGTATGGAACCAGAGACAAGCACTGTCAATCAAGGACAATTTGTTTTTCATGTCTTTGTTAGCTGTGTGGTTGAGCAATGGTAGGAGCGCACTGTTGACCACACTAGTTTGGCCTAGGCACCAAGTAGAAAGATGGGAGAAAGTGCTACATACAATTTTTCTAATCGGCAACATAAAAAAGTAAGACTTTTTTTTAAAATCTGTATGTGATATTCCTTACCAAAGGATGTGTAGCCCACCACTGCAAGTACAGCATAGTATCTCTCCCAGAGGCGTCTCTAGGGTTGGTGTCACCCGGTGCGGTAACACTTGGTGACACCCCCCCTCCGACGATCCCCGCATAATGGATCGGACTTGCGGATTGAGATAGAGACCTGGTGACTACCCTAATGGAACTAAAATAAGATATGTAATGGAAACAGAAAGGTTTTCTTTTAAATGTTGGTGAAAGGGAAAGAAGGAACCAGGAAAGGCAAAATATAAGCACATTAAACTTCAGCTTTAAATCTATTGGAGTCCAATGTAGTGCCATATATGATTTTGTTCTATGTATTCTATGTATACTGTGTAGTAATTAGATCAGAATAAAAAATAAAATAAAAAATGATTAAAAATAACTTCTTACATTTATAACTTTTAGAGATAAAGTTGATCCAAGGAATATCCGATTGCCTCTCGGAGGATCAAGAAGGAGTTTTTTTCCCCTGCAGAGCAAATTGGATCATGCTTTGCTGGGTTTTTTGCCTTCCTCTGGATCAACTGTGGGTATAGGATTATAACGTTTTTTTTTTGGTTGAACTGGATGTACTTTTGTCTTTTTTCAGCCGGACTAACTATGTAACTATGTAACTTTATGTATGCATCCTGATATAGTTGTCAGGGCAGGGCTGTGGAACGGACAGGTAGGCCTAGTGGCAGGGTAAGGCACTGGCTGACGACAACCACCACCAACAGACCGAAGTCCCTCAGGGCGTGGAGTCTAAGTCCCAGGCTGCCCTTCACCAGGGCCCCTGATGGTGGGGATGGACTTGACGCAGCCAGGAACCAGGTCGCGGCCCCCGAGACACCCCGGCTGCGGTAATGGCCGCCGCCAATGGCGTGTAGCTGGTGAGAATGACAATAGCGTAGTCAGGCAAGCCGAGTCGACAACAACAGGACAAAACAGTACAGAACAGTAGACAGAGAATCACAGGTCACAGGCCGGGTTCAGCAACGGAAGGTCAGATCGAAGGAAAACACAGAGAATGGTCTTAGTCACAAGCCGAGTCAGAATACCAGAAGAGTCACGAGCATATACACAGAGCTGTAGCAAGACAAAGACACAAGACACAAGTGCAAAGAGCATGTGCGGATCACAGGCTTATATGTCATCAGCCACACCCCTCTGGGGGATGGACCTCAGAGACCTGAAGGCATAAAAGCTTCCCACCATGCTCAGCAGAAATCCAAGATGGATGCCAGCACATGGAGTAACATAACCTCTGGGAAAAGGTAGGACCTTGACAATAGTTGCATTTACTTATTATACACTATATTGCCAAAAGTATTGGGCCAGCCCTCCAAATCATTGGATTCAGGTGTTCCAATCACCTCCATGACCACAGTTGTATACAGTCAAGCCCCTAGGCATGCAGACTGCTTCTACAAACATTTGTGAAAGAATGGGTCGCTCTCAGGAGTTCAGTGAATTCAAGCGTGGTCCCGTGATAGGTTGCCACCTGTGCAATAAGTCCATCCGTGACATTTCCTGGCTACTAAATATTCCACGGTCAACTGTTAGTGGGATTATAACAAAGTGGAAGCAACTGGGAACAACAGCAACTCAGCCACCAAGTGGTAGGCCATGTAAAATGACAGAGCGGGGTCAGCGCATGTTGAAGAGCACATTGCGCAGAAGTCAGCCTGATAGAACACCTTTGGGATGAATTAGAGCGGAGACTGTGAGCCAGGCCTCCTCCCCCGGCATCAGTGCCTGACCTGACAAATGTGTATCTGGAAGAATGGTCCAACCTTCCCATAGACAACCTCCTAAACCTTGTGGATGGTCTTCCCAGAAGAGTTGAAGCTGTTATAGCTGCAAAGGGCGGGGCCAACTCAATATTGAACCCTACAGACTAAGACTGGGGGGCCATTGAAGTTCATGTGTGTGTAAAGGCAGGCCGATCAATACATTTGGCAATATAGTGTATATTTAACGTGATGCTAGAGTTTGGTTTAAAAAAAAAAAATATTCAAATATGTCTTCTTAACTCAGAAAAGTCACTCCTATTGTTTTCAGACTCCTCTGAATCTTTTTATTTTTTTGCTGCTTTCTGTTGGAGGGTGGCTTCATTCACTTTCCATGGCCCCCATGTATGTAGGAACATACTCATCCTCTCTTGCTTACTCCTGAGATGGACTATGGACTATAGAATGTGTAGTGTACATAAAGTAGTGCACATGACCACAAATAGAATGCACTACTCATTTCAAACAAACAGAAGTGAGGGGGGAAAGGAGAGGTTTGGGAACTCATGGAGGGCACTACATGGAAGAATAAAAACATAGTAAGAATTAATTTCATGAAAAATAGATTACAGGGCCATTAAATGGTGGATGTGTATAGATATAAGGAAATTAAGTGTCACTTTTTGTGTGAGTATTATGGATCATCAGTCTCTGTGTAAGTGTACTACTCTGCCCAGGCTGCCTAAAGACAATGCCGCGGTGCTGATTTACTAAAAGAGGCAGAGATGCTTTCTTTTACGAAGTTCACTTAGTTTAGTATATAAGGTGAAGCTGTGATCACATCAATCAATGAATGAAATCAATCAATTAAGGTAAAATCCAGTTTTATTTTTTTTCTCTCTCTCTTGCACATGATTGGTTTTTACAGTGAACAAAGCTTCACCTCATTCAAGAAACCAAAAGAACCCTCTCTGGTACTGCAGTAAATTCCCCCTATATCCCGGGAGCTTTATCCTGTTATCTAAGACACTTACACATTACATTAATGTGAATTTTACCCAGATAATTCACTAAATATTTACCCAGATAATTCACTAAAGATTTACCCAGATAATTCACTAAAAATGTGCCCAGATAATTCACTAAAAATGTACCCAGATAATTCACTAAAGATTTACCCAGATAATTCACCAAAGATTTACCCAGATAATTCACCAAAGATTTACCCAGATAATTCACTAAAGATTTACCCAGATAATTCATTAAAGATTTACCCCGATAATTCACTAAAAATGTGCCCAGATAATTCACTAAAGATTTACCCAGATAATTCACTAAAAATGTGACCAGATAATTCACTAAAAATGTGCCCAGATAATTCACTAAAGATTTACCCAGATAATTCACTAAATATTTACCCAGATAATTCACTAAAAATGTGCCCAGATAATTCACTAAAAATGTGCCCAGATAATTCACTAAAGATTTACCCAGATAATTCACTAAATATTTACCCAGATAATTCACTAAATATTTACCCAGATAATTCACTAAAAATGTACCCAGATAATTCACTAAAGATTTACCCAGACAATTCACTAAAAATGTGCCCAGATAATTCACAAAAGATTTACCCAGATAATTCACTAAATATTTACCCAGATAATTCACTAAAAATGTACCCAGATAATTCACTAAAGATTTACCCAGATAATTCACTAAATATTTACCCAGATAATTCACTAAAAATGTACCCAGATAATTCACTAAAGATTTACCCAGATAATTCACTAAAGATTTACCCAGATAATTCACTAAAAAATGTGCCCAGATAATTCACTAAAGATTTACCCAGGTAATTCACTAAATATTTACCCAGATAATTCACTAAAAATGTGCCCAGATAATTCACTAAAAATCAGATAATTACTAAAAATGTGCCCAGATAATTCACTAAAGATTTAGCCAGATAATTCACTAAAAATGTGCCCAGATAATTCACTAAATATTTACCCAGATAATTCACTAAAAATGTACCCATATAATTCACTAAAGATTTACCCAGATAATTTACTAAAGATTTACCCAGATAATTCACTAAAAATGTACCCAGGTAATTCATAAAAATTTACTCAGATAATTCACTAAACATTTACCCAGATATTTTACCAAAACTTTACCAAAAATCTATAATTTACAAAAACAAAAGTACCCAGATATTTCACTATAATTTTCCAGATAATTTACTAAAGATTTACCCAAATAATTCACAAAAAATGTACCCAGGTAATTCACAAAAAAATTACTCCGATAATTGACTAAAAATAGAAATAGAAAGGCAGTGCCTTTCTTTTTGCTATATTGTGTTGCATATTTTGGGTTTATTGAATTGGATCCTGCAGTGATATTGCACATTGTGGTTTTATTTTTGGGGTATTGTATGCTGGTAATGTTGGGTAGCTATATATGTATCTTCTATTTATATTGTACTCCCAGTTCACACATGGCATTATTTTAACATTTAGGGCTCATCTATACTAGTGTTGCTCTCTGAAGAGCGATCCACATTCAGATAGCTCTTCAAAGAGCATTTGACAAGCAGTGAGGAGGCGATGTATTGCCTCCTCACAACCTGCTTTAACCCCTCGAAGCCCACACTAACAACCACGTGATTGTGGGACCATGCAGGGTGACCCCATTCACTTGAATGGATCATGTTTGGCGAGCGTAGTGACAGGGGAATAGTTCTTGCCGAGGCCACAAAACGGTGCCTTGCAGCTGCAGCATATGTGCACCCCGAGCACTGCCTCTGCAGGTAAAGGTGATGGCAGTTGAGGCACGATAAAAACCCACGGTTGAGCCACCATTAATGTGGACAAGTCCGAACTGATAGAGGAAATCACTTTAAAGCAGCCTATTCCGTCAATCACAGTCCCCTGTAAAGGCGATATTATAAAATGTATTGGATGATTGTGGGTGAATGTGATCCCCTTTAAAAAACACTTATATAGTATCTATAATATAATCTGCAGATTCCATTCAAAGAATACCTAATGATCCTGCCATGAAGGCCCTTCTTCAGACACTTCCTTTTGTAGGGTGACAACGCTCTGTCTTTGTCTCCTAAGTGTGCTCCTCCAGTGTCACCCTGTTATATGGAATCTACAAGTGGCAGTACCAACACACATAGGGCACATGGCTCACTTTTTATCAGGAAACCATAGAAGAACCATGATGTGCAGCCAAGTGCATGTAAATATGAAGTTGCTGAAAAAGGCTGAAGTAGATCAGCAGCACTGAGATGGAAAACAGGATAAAAATGGCAAAAACGGTAATTTAGGAAAGAATAAATATGGATCTTGTTTACGATGCTTAGATCTACTTTAAAGTTGACTTCAGGGATAGGCCAATATTGTCTAAATCCATTCACCATGTGTATTGTTCCTTGAATCTTGGTGTGCTTTGTGTATTGCTGTGCAGTAATCCAGTGTGAAACTTCCCATATGGAAGAAAAATATATTTGAAATATATTTAAAAAATATTCTTCCCAAATATATTGACATATATTTGAAATACTACAATTTTGGCCGTATCCAATATATTTCAATAAATATATAAACATATACTGCATGTTGAAATGCATTTTTTATATATTACAAAATATGTGAAAAATATTTTTAAAAATATATTTTTTTAAACTATATTCTTCAGATATAAGAAAGTCATTTTAACATATATTTGTACATATATTTGTAAATGTATTCCGAAAATGTAGATTTGTATTGTTAAAGACAAACAATATATTTGAAATGTATTTTTAAAAATATTTTTCATATATTTTGTAATAAAAATGCATTTCAACATGCAGTATATATATATATATATATATATATATATATATATATACATTTAATGAAATATATGTTGAAATAGCATTTAGCATTTCAAATATATGTCAATATATTTGGGAAGAGTATTTTTAAAATATATCTCAAATATATTTTTCTTCCATGTGGATTTTCCCTGTCGAAGGGTGCTACATACATGATCCATGTGTACTGTTCCTTGGTGTGCTTTATATATTTCTTCCAGATCTGTGCAGTAATCCAGTGTGAAACTTGGAGCTTTCTGTAATAAAGACCAGTCACTGCTGTTGTCTCTCCTTGTGCAGAGTGACTGGTCTTGTCTCCGCCCCCTCCTGTAGTTTTCTGCAGGCAGCCTGTAGTGGGTGGAGCCTGCTGGGTCCCACCACAGCTCTGCTCTCTGCACAGGCTATGTATAGCACAGTCATGATGTCACTGCTAGTTTAACAAGGTAATAACTATGTTTGCAACAGCATATGATGTACACAGGGTGGATTTATATCCTTTGTGGCTATTGAGGAATAAATACTCAAAAAACTCAAATAGCCCAAATTCCCCATCCCCCCAACTTGGGATCTGAGATCTAACCAGGGGCGGACTGACCATTTGGAAACTTGGGCACTGCCCGAGGGCCCAGGGTCAGTAGGGGGTCCCATGAGATGCCCCTGGTACCTTTTTCATAGGCTTTTTTGAGTTTGGGCAAGGACACAGGGGCCCCATGATCCCCTATTGCCTGGGGGCCCCATGAGTTGTCAGTCCGCCCCTGGATCTAACACTAGGAATCATGGAGAGGACAGACACTTTTCCACACTGTACAGTGCCAGGACCCAGAGCCGAGCTCCACACTGTGCACCTGCTGTTCTGTCCCGGCTCTCCTGGCTACATGGGAAGACTCCCGTACATGGGAGAAAACAGTAAGGTAGCTTATTGAATAACAGCATTTAGTAAGCATTGGTCATGGCCTTTATTTAGACTGTTTCACACACTGGCATAAATATTCATATCCCACCATCTGTTTTCTCACTTTTCTATTAATTAATTATGAGTGGGAAGATGTCTGCGTTCACACGACTGCTTTATCCCCCCTGTTGAATCTCTTTAAACAAGCGAGCCGAGTCTATCGTCAGCGGAGACCGGTCCATTGTTTCCTCCTGGGAAGAATCTCACACTTTTTCAGGGAAGAGCTGCCACTGAGCAGCCTGTGAAGGTTCATACATGGCTCTGTAGCCATGGAAGTTAAAGGAGACATCACTGAGTGTTGGTCAATTTTTTTACAATTCGTTATTTTGAAAGTGATAATAGCTCATTTTATATCAGTTTTATTATTGGTGTAAGATTTTTATTTTACACATGAACCTTTCATACAGGGTGCGTCCATGCTCAAGTGTAA